TTGGGTTGCGTGCTCGAAACAAGTTGGCACAGCTATCGCCAAACAGTCGTGGGATCCTGGCAAATGTTGCTCGATTGCTCGCCAGCTCGAACTTCTCCAGCTAGTTCTTCTCCCTTTTTCTATCCCTCTATCTCTCTCTCTCTCCCTTCCTCTCTCCTTCTCTGTCTTTCACTCTCCATCTTCACTATCACCTTCTCCTCCTCTCTCGACGCTTGGACGAATACGTTGGTTGGGAAAAATCACGAGAGCGTCTCGTTGAATCCGATTCTAACCGAGTTAGAACGGCGCAGCCGTGGAAACGGAAACGATTCTTGCATGCCCCGCGTCGTCTTCCGGTAAAGAGTTGCTCGAAACACGCGAGAGAGAGACTCTACTTGACGATTTTTGTGCGTGCATCGTGGGAATCGATCTTCATTTCTTAATATTTCGTGACTTTTAGCTGTCTCTTTTTATGCATTTCTCTTTTCCTTTTTTTTTCCTTTCTTTCGGTTTGAGATGTGGGATTTTTATGTATAACAGGATTTTATGTGTAACAGGAACGGGGATGTGGCAATATTGAGGCAATATTGTGGATTCGAAATGGAGAATTTTCAATTTTTTTTTTCAATCGTAGGTAATGTTGGTAATGGTAATTTGAAAAATGTAGAATATCTTCATATTTGTATCTGCGAGAGTATGAAGGGTTGAATAGGGGTGTATAGTAGGAAGTAAATTGACTCTGTCAAAGTAATTTACGATTTTCTGTTTTAGCAATACAAGTGACTCATTCCCTTCTATCCGACAAACAAAGAATGTGAGTACTTCCGACAATTTTATTTATAATAGTGTCAATAAATCTGAATAATCATTTCGCATTGCTGAAACGGAAAATCAAATTTTATATTTTCTACTTTCCAAATACTAATATTTTCAATTTTACCAAGTTTCTACAAATATCAATTATCGATAGCAATTAAAAAAATATTAAAAAATTTCGAAACCTTATCCAAAAATATTTAAATCCTCGAAAAATTTCATGAAAACAAAATTATTTTTAATATCTACACTCTAAAAATTTTCAAAATTACAATAATCTCAATTTTCGTATTTCGTATTAACTCATCATCAATATTACCAATTTCCTTTTTTCTCATCAATGACAATATTCTCATTACAGATATTAATTATCAATGAAAAATTTTCAAAAACCAAATTCAAACTCTTAAAAAATTCCACGGAAGCGAAAATTTTCCATCGAATAAATCCAAGGATGAGTGCTCATGAGAAAAGTCAGGAAGGTCGGAACCGCCCTCTTCCGCACTTTTTGACTTTTTCGCCTAGCCACACGATCGCACAAAGGCCTCGTTGAATAAACCGGAAACCCGCTTCATCGTCGCCCTTACCTGTCCTTCTCCCTTGGATCATGCTTTTTCCATCCACGTGTGTGCGCGCTATGACGTACCTGTATTTATGCGGGTCACTTCTGTGCGATTTGATACAACCTGCAGGTCCATTGAAAATCTATCTATGAATCTAACAAGATCAATTTGTCGTTCCTCGAGTACCATTTAGTTTAGTTTGGCTAGTCGAATATCTTTTCAAAAGATGTGGTTTTACGAAGGATTCTTTTTTTTTTTTTTTTTGAAATTCAATGGCTTGGACTTTTTTACTCGAAATGTTTTATTGAGGATGAAGGATTTATGATTGGAACATTGGTGCAAGTGGTTTATTTTTATATGAATATATTTTATAACCTTTTTCAATGTTGCAACATTGTATTTTGTTGAATAATATAAGGAGAAATGAAGGAATTAACTTGGTTTTAATTGAATTAAATGTTGAGAGGATTATTCTTATAGCATGTGAATTGAATTATTGTGGCAATGCAATTATATTTATAAAATGATTAAGTATAAAATAATGACTATTTTATGAATTGCAAAGATTAAGAATTATTGTTAGAAGTAAAAAGAAGGATGAAAGAATTATAAATAGAGTAGAATTAAAAAAATTTTTAAAATCTTTCTATATTCAGAATATATATTTTTTAGTTTGAATTATTTGTAAAATAAAATTAATCCCTACTTCAATGATTTTATCAATGCTAATAAATACTCTACTTTTGGATATCTTAAAAACTGAGTACTATCTAAACCATCTGAAAGTCTGACTTGATTGTTTTTATTAATCCAACTCATTCACATTAAATATTTAATCAATGGTAGATATTAAAATTTTTCACCTATATCAATAATTAATATTATTATTCCTAATTACTCATAGGTAATAATCTTATTTGCTATCTCATCACTTAAAATTCAATATATTATAAATAATATTAAAAATAAAATTTTCAGATCAATATCTATTATATATATAAATATTTTTTAATTATCATACATATAATACATCTATTATAACTAAATTTATTTCATTCAATTTACATGTCAATATAATAATAACACATGCAAAATTTATGCTACTGTAGAATACAATCCTAACATGAAATACCTATCACACAATTATCTTAACATTCACCAATTCTACATTCCTATGATACTGTCAAACCACCTATATAATAATAATAACATCATATGGAAAATAATGTTGAACAATAGTCCTAATACCTATACTTAACATAATAAATAAATAATAATAATATGGAAAATAATATAGGAGAAAACAACATTGCAGAATTCTTATACTCGATGGACTTAAATATTAATATTATCTTAATAACATTCACCAATTATGTTCCATCCCATGAAATATACACATTACAACCCTTCCACCAGCATGGATCATCCAACGATCCATCGACTACGCCCGAGGACGCTTCTAACCCACTTTCGAGTATCGACGTACACCGTAAACCAGGAAGAGGGATAAACCCATCGAGAAAGTGGGCTAAAATTGGCAAGAGGAAGAGGGAAGAGAGAGAAAGAGAGAGAGAGAAAAAAAATCGAAATGACACGGTAAAAGCACCGCTAATGCCGTTTCGCATTAACACTCGACGCAAAGTATGCTCTCGGTGTAAAAAGCCCCTGATCGATGGAGCGATCCGATTGGTCGGCGGACGAGGTGGGTCGAAATCAACCCCCTCGACAGTGTTCTAGGCCGATCCTCCAGACACTGTGACCCGATTGGTCCAAGTTGCAAGCTCCACCCCCTCAAACTCACCCCTGTCGTTCACCCAGCGAACGTTCCCTCGAGCGTTTCGCATTCCAATAAATTCCTATTCGTGCTTCTGTTGCGCTCTTGGATCTCGAAAGTAGATTGCAGTTTTCAGATTAGACGATGGAATTTGTAAAATGGATTGACCGATCTGATTTTGGCTCGAGTGTGTATATTTGAATGGGGAGGAGGGGTGGAAGTTTGTTGAGAGAGTGGTTTGCGGTTATGGGAGATGGTTTGAAAGTTTGAAAGATTTTTTGAGAAATTTTTTTCTTTTTTTTAAATGTATGATCTATTAGTTTTTATATTTACTCTGAATAATTTAAGTTATTTTTTTTTTTTTTTTTTTTTTTTAGGGAGAAGATTTAGACTGAAGTGGATATAAATAATATTGTGTATAAAGTGTAATATATTATGAGAATGTAGGTATATGTGTCATAGGGGTTGCTTCTGTTTATATGCATTTTGACCACAAGCTCACTTAGAATCAATATTTAAATCTCGTTTAGTCAAGAAAGTAAATACGTTACAAATATCATTGCAAAATATATATTTTAAGGATTTTATGAAAATATTAATCAATTCATAATATAGATATTAATAGTTACTCAGAACAATTTCATAGCACTTCAATTTATTCCTATATTATAACAAAATATTCACAAATCATCGTCCAACATTATCCAATCCTAATTACAACAATACAATTTACAGCAATGAGTATACACAATACACTATCGAATATTCAAACAACTTCAAAACCCATTCAAACAACGTCTCTCCTTAAAACCAACTCTCCAACGTACAAATCTAGAAACCCAAAAACCACCCCTTCTCGAGTTCCAAAGAATCACACCCTTTACCTAATCCCAAATAGACGCAGAGAGCAGCGTAACAATCTCCCCTCTCTCTCCCTCCCTCCCTCCCTCTCCCTTACTTTGTATAGATTGATCTCCATCCCTGTACGAAAGAACGATCGACCACGTTCCCTGGAAATCCAGCTCGCTAATTCTCTCGGCGAGCATCCAGTGGGGTGGACTGTCGAGGGTGAGCTCGA